TAAGAATTTGATTGATGAAAAATGAAGCTAGGTTTTCGTATTTCGTTATCACGAAACTTCCAAATTTCGAATCACTTCATTAATGTTCTTATTTTAATAAAAAAAATTGCATACAATGAATCATGCCTAGTTAATTTTTTGTGATCATTATTTAAGACAAAAGCTACGGGCAGTGTTTTTTATGAAATTTAAAAGGATAAATAAGGGAATAATAAGAGTGTACTATTATGCACTTACTTTTATTATTAGAAGACTAGACACCTTCTTTTTAGATTAGCAGTCAATCATGACATTTGAGTGAAATCAAATTTCATGGATTTATTATTTATTATTTACTAAACTCAGCGTGATGATGTGATATGCACCCTACGACGCGCTTGTCAAATTTAACTTTTTGTCCCCAAATTTAAATTTTGGAACAAAATTTATTATTTATTTTTTTATACTTAACTCCGATCTATAATGACAATGGTCTATGTGCGAACTTACAATTTAATTTACAATGACCATCATTAACATTGATAATATTTTATGGATAAAGAAGTATATCATATGTCAGAAGAATAACATTACATATACGTGAAGTCAATTAAATGAATCGCATCAGTGATCAAAATTTTCAAATTCTGGGAGTATTTTACAAACGCACCATAATATACTCGTCGTATGTGCGTTGTCAGGGTTAAATTTAAAACCCTGGAGTCCGGTTTCGACAAGTTATCGGTTTTGATCGGATCATTTCAACAATATTAGATTTATATGGAAGAAACGCACTTTATGGATTATTTTTTTTATAAAATTTAATAGGCTATCTATTCTAACAAGATCGGTTTTAGGTGGTTCAACAGTAGTAAATTTTATAGTCACAACAGGTCATAACTTATTATTAATCACAGATTATAGGCCAACACTATTTATAAGCGCACTTTTTCTAAAGGTGCATATCACAATGTAATTTCTTGTGACATTTTTTTTTTTATTACTGTAAGCGGATTTTAATATTAATCAATATTACCAGGTGTTGGAATAAAGTTTGAATCTAAATAGCGCTTTTTATATACATAAAATATAGCAAAACCTAAGATACCAATTACAACGGCGCCTAAAGCAATACCAATTCCAATATACATTGCAATATTAGGTGAAGACTGTCCCGGTGGTTTGGGAGGAATATCATTTACAGTGGTAATCCAAGAGTAACTTGGTATATAAAAAGCATAAACCTTATTATCCATAAACTGATTTGGTAAAGATGTAATTATACCTGATTAAATAATATATATTTAGCGTTAGTAATTATCGTTAAGTAAATAAAAATTTAATTGATAACAGGATAATCACCAAATGCAATAATCATATTATTTCCATACAATGCAGCAGAATGATACGTGAGTGGTGGTGGTGCATTTAATCGAGGAATATTTGGACTAGACCACGTCCAGACAGATGTATTTAATACTGCAAGATCAGGAGTCACTGTAAGATATGTACCGTTGTCACCGAATTTTGCACCGCCATATATAATGATATTTCCATTAGGAACTAATTGAACAAACTTGTTATTAATGTATTATAGTATAAATATAGAAATATATGCTTTAAGATTATATTTGGCATACCTAAAACAGCCGTATGTCCCGCACGAGAATCAACGCTATCACCAGTAATTGGCTAAAGAAATTTTAACTAGTTTGAGTTTTAAATTATACACTATATAATATAAAGCATTTACGTACTTGATTAACCCAAGATGAAGATTTTGTATTAAATATTCGAACCTGCATTCAGCCATTTATTAATTTTAATCATTAATTAACAGAAAAAAAACGTCATTTGGTTAATTAATATTATTAAATTTACCTCATTCATCGATACTGAAAATGCTTTTGTTTGTTCCCAACCGCCGATATAAATTATAAGACCATTTGGTAATAAAGTTGCAGTATAATCAATTCGGGGAGCAGGAAAATCCGCAGTTGGGTTTATTGTTGACCATATCAGTGTTGTAGAATCAAGTACATTCATATCATTATACCAATAATTTGTTGCGGGATCAAATCCTCCAAAGAGAAAAATCCTTCCAGTTTTGTCAATAACTGCACTTATTTCACTACGCATTGAGAATGAATTATTAAATCCAATAAAATTCAAAGACTTCCATTTTGGATTAGAATTAGGATTAAATTGGTATCCTTTTGAAGAGAGAGAAAATTTTAATGTATTGGGTTCATACATCTTTCCACCAACTAAAAAAACAGTTGAATTATCATAACTGACACTTGATGTGCCAAGCATGTACCCTACTGGCATGTCAACATCTTTATGCCATGGAGGTGTAACTGTATTAAATGCACTTGATAAATCAAGATACCACACTTCATTGGTGGCTACCCAATCTAACATCCAACCACCAAAAAAATAAAGTTTTGTTTCAACTAACGAACTGGCTTGTTCGCATCGAGGTGAAGGTGTATTTTGACAATTAACAAATAGACATGTTTGAATTAATATTATATAAATACATATTAAAAAAATTCTTTGAATATTCTGAATGCTATTCATATTAAGATGTTAAACTTAATAAATATATCACATTACAGCAGAGAGAATAGAAACTGGACTAAATAAACACTAAACCGTTTATGGTTTAACAATATTGTAAAACATTAATTATTACA